AGAGAGAGAGAGAGAGAGAGAGAGGGAGCGAGTGAGAGGGAGGGGGGAGAAGTACAGAGAGAAAGAGAGAGACAGCCACAAAGACAGGTCAAAAGACAATAATTATGTATTAAAGGAACTAAGATACAAACAATTCAATTCCTATACGAACTCACTTCACAGCCTCGGAGTCGTTGTCTTTCACTCTTGTCATTTATGTTGTCACTACTCCTTTGCTTTCTGAGCCTGAAGGAATAAATATGAACACTTGAACAGCCTGCAAAAAGTGTAGGTACAAACAAATACAAGCCCGTTATCGAAACATGACGTCACAATAAACACTCCGAAATCTCTGAATAAAAAGTACTATTCACTTGTCGAAAATATAATCCGAAAGTCGCTGAGCTATTCACAGCTGATGTTAGGTCGAAATAAATGTCGGGCCACCCGGCCAGCTCATTTATCTAGTGGCCTTTTAGATTGGTTACCCTCGTTTGCTCACCTACCTACGCTACAGCAGTTCTGTGAATACCCTTCCCCCCCGGCGCAGTCAAAAGTGGGCCCTATTCAGCTGTGACGTCTTCATTTTTCAAGTCACGCTAACTTACCCGTGTTTACAATGGTGGGGCTGAAACACATCGAATAATCTATTCAGTTCACAGATGAAGGCAACTTTTCCTTTACACCCACTCTCATTCGCCCCATGCGCTACCCTCCGAAATATCACCTAACTACGTGGGCCTCTTTTCCTTTTCCCGGTCGGGAAAATCAACATTGGCCTACCCCCTCCCGAATAATGGCTAATGTTTGAATTCAAATATATGACTCAAGTACGGTAGAGGATGGGGCTGGATGGGCCCCAACAGACATTCCTTATCTCTCTCTCACTGTAGCTGTCGCACCTGCAAACGAGAGAACCTGAGCTGCTCGCTACCTACCCATTTGAGCGTTCTATTTTTACCTTTTTTTTTTCTATTTGTCTTTTTTTTGGTCCGGAGCCCGGCAAGTGGGCAGTCAGGAGTGAGCCTGCATACGCAAACAGGTACCCCTGTCTTATTGTGAAAGGGTTCCACGTTCCTAAGGAGATGGGGGTGGGGTAGTTATGTGACATCCTGCATTGTATTTCTTGTTGCGTTTCGAGCAAAGATGTTTAGTTTAAATTTGGCAAATTTGTGCTTTAAATAGTTTCGGGTACACAAACAGTTGGTTTTTCTGTTCCTAGACAGCTTGTATTAGGATAAGAAATTATCACCGGAGAGAGAAGACGAAGATGACTACGACAACGTCAACAATGACAACAACAATAATACCTACCACGACAGTAAGAACAATTCGCAATAAAAATAACAACAACAACAACAATAACAGCAGCAACAACAACAACAACAACAACAACAACAAAACAGCAATACAAGCCAACAACTAGACTTTAATAAAAAAGACACCCGCCTGATGAGTTTAGTAGAGGACTGCATGATGATCTGATTTATAATAACAACACACAAAAATCAACGTTGGAGTTGTTTATGTTAATTTAGAAGTTATAATGGTTACTCTTAAAACCCATGACCACGTTCTAGGCTTTGGACTGACGACCAGAACATGATAGGTTCAAGTTATAGGACATGGGCCGTGTCTGCCATTGAAGAAAACGATCTTGGGATTGCCCAAATGTTTACTTTCTTCAGTAAAGCGAAGTTTTATAAAATGACTCCTTAAAACGCGTTAACCACAGTATACCAGAGGCAAACGTCTTTTCTATTCTTTTATTATTGAAAAAAAAAATCCCCAATGACAGTCTGTTTTGAGAGACCCCCTAAACGCCATATCAGAATCTACTCCATCGTTCAACACATGAGACATCTCAAACTTCAGTGGCAGAAGACACTTTTGAAAATGACGTGTTTAGTTCGAATTGCCACTGTTTACCTTGTATCAGAGTGCAGGAGACTGCACGGCGTCTTCAATGCGCTTTTGTAGAGTTAATAAAAGAAAAAAAAATGAAGTTATTGGTTCAAATAGAGAGCAGCTGTATTCTTCTTGCGTATTTTCAAAGGACATTTTGCAAACAATCTAGACCTTTTCTCGATTAAAAGTCCCGTGATCCTCTTTTTCAATGACATTTACAGATTGTGGCTTTGGTCTATATCCAACGTGCCAATATTCATGCTTCGCTTCAGGCTTAACGTGTTTTTTCGTTATCTGTGTCTCTATTCGGAAAACAGCAAGCATCTCTTTCTTTCTCGTTTGCTCATTAAAAAAACGTGTTCTCTCTTCTCCCCCCCCCTCTCTCTCTCTCTCTCTCTCTCTCTCTCTGTATCTGTGTGCGTGTGTGTATCTCTTTGTCTCTACTTCGCTCTGCGCCTTCGTCTTTCTCCCTCTCTTGTTTATTCTCAATCTAATTCTCTCTCTCTCTCTTTCTCTCTCTCTCTCTCTCTCTCTCTCTCTCTCTCTCTCTCTCTCTCTCTCTTTCGCTCTCGCTCTTTCCTCCTTTCTCTATATCTTCTTTTGCTTTTGGCTCTCTCTATTTTTCTCTCTTTTCCTCTTTCTCTCTCGCTCGTCATTATCAGATATTCCTATTACCTTCTGTATCCTTTTTCAGTCCCCGAACTGCCCGGAAAGACAGAGCATCTAAAAGCAACAACAATGACAACAACAATATAATCAGATTTAAATCCAAGTGACTTAACACACACTTTGATAAAGGGGACAAGCGTCCCATTTTATTCTACTTCTGTGGTTCTAAGGGCCAGCTGGCAAAGGTTACTGATTTAGAATCCTAGTGGATCAGGAAATCAGGTTCATAAGCAAAGTGGATGAGAGACGACGTTTTGGAGAGTGGTCGCTGGGTGAGTCCAAAAAACACCCAAATATCTGTTTAATGGTTATGGTGACACACTGTAAGATCCTTCAAGACGAAGGACCTTCGTATTAAACGTCCATCTCCAATATGGCCGAGCTAATAAGTGGAAAATCTGTGTGGCGTGCATTTCCAAGGACACAACGTCAGACCGAACTGAGCCTCCAACCCCCGAATTCGAAATAATAGTATGACGATTACGAGTCTCGTGGCATAATCACTAGACTACCGACGCCACTGGATGAGCTCTTCAGCAAAACCAGTTACTTATCTTGACCAGTATAAAGCAACAACCGGGGGGCTCTCGTGGCCTAGAGGCTAAGGTGTCCGCCTCTCATTCAATGGGTCCCGGGTTCGAATCCGGATGACGACGGAAAACTTTCTTCTCTTTTCTTTTTCACAAACCCCAAACAACCAATCAACCAACCAACTAACAAACAACAACCAAGATACCGTAGTTCACGTTATTTTTAGTCTTGGTCTCTGACATGTGGCTATTTAAACTTGCTATTATTACAGGTGTATAGAATGAAGCCTATGAAAAGCCGACTGTTCAGGGGAAAACCCACCCCATATCTATAGGGATCAATAACGCCGTGCTAAATGTGGCGAATACAATCTTTTAAAGGATAACGTTCAGATGAGGGACAATGTTTAAAACATACACGAGTGAGCCCTGCTTCATTCCAGAGTCAACCCATATTTGGCAAAGAGGAGAACCAACTTTCGAAAAACCATTGTCTTCAGAAGAACGTTTGATCATCACATTAAGGTAATACATTTTACCTACAACTCACCCATTAAAGCCTACACACCGCTCATCAGTTTTGGTGCTAGTGAGGAGCAAGAAATTTAGTGCTGCAGTAAAATATCTCGCCCCAACAATTTTTGGTGCTTGTGAGGCGAAAGGGCGGCGCGAGTTTAGTGACTATACTCACATAACGGTGAAAGAAAAAGGAAAAAAAATGACAGAACCATTAAGAAAGCCAGCAAGATCTCTGGATATGAGTTTACTAGAATTGATGCAATGTATAACACCACAATTATAAAAAAAGACAAAAAGCATTATAAACGACCCATCACACCCACTTTCCACACACATTGTATGATCATGCAGGGGCAGATATGTACCTCCAAAAGCAAAGAAAGAAAGATATAAAAGAAGTTTTTTACCATCTAGCATAAGGCTACTGTCAGAATACGCATAATGTGTAATGCTCTTTAGAGTATGTATCAACGAGTATATAACTCCAGAGGTCTTGTAATCAAATTCCTGCCTGTGGTTGAATGATGCATCTGATGTGATAGGTACATTTTGTCAGCTTTACTTCTCTTTTCGTGTTGAATTTTAATGAGAGTCAATTGGGAGTAATATATATATAATTAATTCGATTTTTTATGTATACCTGCATTTGTTTTTACGGTCCTGTACAACAAAGACAAAAATCTCTCTGGGATAATAAAGTATTATCTTATCTTATTTATATTATCTTATATTATGTAGACTAAATTCATCTCTAACTAAACTGGTGCGAGCAAGGGGCGAGCACGGTGCTGGTGAGGGAAAGGTGACGTCTGTCTGCACGTTTATTCTGTTTACATTTCGTGTCCCACTTAGTCAGGGTCGACCTTCTTAGGTAGTTTTGAAGCAGCCCGCCTTTGAATTGTAAAAAAAAACCTATGTTGATAGGACTTAAACGTTTTCAACAAATTAGTTAATCCTGTCATTTTGGTATTTTTACTGTTACTTAACGCAGTATCTGGATCCTAGGTTACCTCGAAATTATGCTCAGTAGGATAAAAGATTAATGGTGAAGTTACGTACCATAAAAAAAACTCTCAAACATACAAACGTAAAGTAATTTATTCGTAAAGTCACTAACTTAAACAATATCCTAGAGGTATTGGTTGGGGGAGGGAGGGAGGTAGTTTTGGAACAAGTTTACTCTCATTGTAAAAAGACGTTGATTGTTTCAAAGACCGAACACTGGACTCAGACTGCAGATTATAGTTTATTTGTTTGCTTGAGTCCAGAAAAGCACATACAAATAACAACCGGATAGACAAGAAAGACAGAAAGACAGGAACTATAGATTGAAGGAGCAGGCGCAAAAATGAATACCAGTGGTGCGCCCTTAAACCATTCGATCAGACCCAGCAGATAGAAGAAGACAGCAAGCAGAGACAAGACGCACTGAAATACAGGAGTTATGTGGTATATCATGATTTATCCTACATGAAGAGTGAAAATGCCAAATTGCAATCATGCGTTTCAACGAGTAATCGCAAGAGACAATTTCCCTAGTAGAATAAATAACGGTCTACCACCACAACGCCTGGAGTACGTTTTTTTTTTTATACCATACTGATATCAGCTTACGAAATAAATGTGGAACCGGACCAGCAAAGTTCCAATGACTAGTCAAGTGGTCAAGTGGCTCAGCTCAATTAAAGAGTCTCACATGAAAACAAAATTAATATGCCTGTCGGGGTCAGACTGAGGATTAGAAAAGATCTGGATTCTTTTTTCTATTTTTAGACGGATTGCATAGTATGCTATCCGTATGTCTTCCTTCACGATATGAACCCCAAAGAAGCAACAATA